GAGAGAGGGGTAGAGACAGAGAAAGAGAGAGATAGAGAGAGAGAGAGCGAGAGAGCGAGGCGGAGAGACCGAGCCGAACGAGCCGCAGAGGAATAAAAGAGATTGGTAAGTGGATGTGGCTAGATTAGATGTAAAAAGATGATAAGTAGGTGTGAATAGATGGGCGTCGGTAGAGTGCAGACAGGTCCATGAATGGGCGAGCGGGTAGGTGGTTCGAACGCGCAGAATGCAATGCCAGCAGTGCAGTGCTCATAGAATTCATACACACTCTAAGGAAATTGAAGGGTTGACGATTCTGCTGGACTGTCTCGTGTGCTTGTAGGTCGGTCGATGGATGGTTAGCTGGATGGGTGGGCGGAGGGAGGGAGGGATGGATGGATGGACGGACGGACAGGGAGAGCGTGTCAGAGAGATAGACAGAGAGATTAGCTGAAGAGGTAGAAATGCAGACATACAGGGATACAGAAAAGTTGATAAGTAGATGTGGGTAGGTGGATGTGTGTAGGGTGTAGATGAGTCAATGGATGGCTGGTTGGACGAATGGGCGGGTGGATGGATGAATGCTTTGGAAGGGGATGGAGTGTCAGAGAGAGTGCGAGAGACACGGAGAGATAGAGAGATTGCTAGTGACCTCGCAGCCAATAACTTGCCAACTTTGCGGACATCCGCCAAGCGCGCCTTCCTTCCTTCCTTCCTTCCTTCCTTCCTGGCTGGCTGGCTGGCTGCCTGGCCTGCCTGCCTGCCTGCCTGCCTGCCTGCCTGCCTGCCTTCCTTCCTTCCTTCCTTCCTTCCTTCCTTCCTTCCTTCTCAGAGTTCGCCGATGGCTCAAGATCGAACAACGACTCTGGCCCCACGGTGTCAGATTACTCCGACCTTCTTGACCCAAGGTGCCAAAAGGAACACAGTGGAGCTTTATTGAGACATTGCGTCATCTTGTGTCTAATACCGCCCAACATTGAGGAGTGGCACAGAGCTGTCGTAATGACTGCTCGTGCCGTGTGTCGGGCGGCCAGGCAAGCGCAACAAAGTTGCTACTCTCACGCGTGCGCCAACCTTGCAGGATGGCGATAAGAAATGGACATGCGGCAATGCGCATTGCAGGAGTGTGCGGCGTCAGTCATCCCTGCAATTCCTTTGCGGAAATAGACCTCCACAGACATTTTGTCTGCTGCACCGTGTGGCCGTTCGTCCGGCCCAATGCGATGAACAATGACCTTCTGTCTACGAACATGTCGGGCCATAGCTACGCACGAAAGAGTGTTGAACAGGCCAGCTGCCCCCCCGCAATACAAGGATCGCCAGACGCGAGACCTAGAGCCACCTGTGCTTTGGTCTCGCCAGTTTTTGCTCCATGGCTCATCCGTGGCCGGCGCACCTGATGCAAGGCCTTTTCCCAAAGTGGGCAGGCCGAGGGTGCAAGGTCCTTTGCGGCCCCCTGCTCCGGCAGTGGCAGGATGCCCCACGGGGGTTGGAAAGACAAGGGTTGAGGTGGAGGAGGTGGTAGTAGTAGTAGTAGCAGCAGTAGTAGTAGTAGTCGTAGTGGTAGTGGTAGTGTAGGTGTAGTAGTGGTAGTAGTAGTAGTCGTCGTCGTCGTCGTCGTGGTAGTGGTAGTGGTAGTGGTAGTGTAGGTGTAGGTGTAGTAGTAGTAGTAGTAGTAGTAGTCGTAGTCGTAGTCGTAGTCGTAGTAGTAGTAGCAGTAGCAGTAGTAGGTAGTAGGTAGTATGTAGTAGGTAGTAGGTAGTATGTAGTATGTAGTATGTAGATGTAGATGCAGTAGTAGTAGCTACGAGCTACGAGCTACGAGCTACGAGCTACGAGCTACTAGCTACTAGTAGTAGTAGTAGTAGTGGTAGTAGTAGTAGTAGTCGTAGTAGTAGTAGTAGTACTACTACTACGACGACTACTACTACTACTAGTACTACTACTACTACCACCACCACCACCACTTCTACTACCCACTACCTACTACCTTCTACCTTCTACCTTCTACTACCTACTACTACCTTCTGCTACTTTCTGCTACCTTCTGCTACCTTCTTCTACCTACCACTACCTACTACTACCTACCTACTACTACCTACTACTACCTACTACTACCCACTACTACCTACTACTACCTACTACCACCTACTACCTACTACCACTACCACTACCACGACTACTACTACTACTACTACTACTACCACCACCACCACCACCACCACCTCGTCTTGCGACGTTTCCTTACAGCGTTCAAACTTTTTAACTTTGGGTTGAATGTAGACTGGGCTTTGCAGAGCGGTTGCTTGTGCTGGAGTTGACACTTGTTGACGGGAGAGTCTTGAAATCGTTCTTTTGATTTGGCACCACGCTCGCTGCATGCGTGGTTGGACTTAACCAACAGTTGATGAGGTTTACCAGGTTCATCTTGCGAAACGGACATCACTACTGTGTCACTACCGGCCTTGGGGACTAGATCCATATACGTGACGTTTCTTTGCAGCTTTCAGACGGCTTCAACTTTCTTGCTGTGCTCTTCTTCCTCTTCTCCAGGCACGGACTTGGCTACGCAGCGTGGCGCTCAACAAACTGAATACTGTCTTGCAAAGCCTCTGGGTGGCGGTGACATCCCCCGACCGCCGTTTCAGCGAAAGGGATTGCGTATCGAAATTCACTAATCTTCAAGTCTTGTGCATATTGAAGTTGCAGCTGACCTCTATGGAGCCCCGATAATTGAGAAGTGTATCCTATTCAAACATGTGCTTATTTTGGATCGTTTCAAGTCTCTATCCATTATGTGTACTGTACACTGCACACTTGGTGCGCAAATCAATGCTGCCCATATGTACTGTTCCCACTGCGCGTGCACATTGTGCCTTTGCTTCAACTATTGTACCATTTGAGCCATGGCCATTCGTAGACGTCGGCAGATCCCCCACTGTTGTGTGGTTCTTTGGCTGGGTGCTTGGGCTTGGAGCTGCGGCCGAAGGAGCTCCCCTGTTGTAGAAACCGGAAATCAAATTCTTGGAGCAGAAAGCACTTGCAACACTGCGGCTCCTTTTTCTCTCTCGAGAATCAAGCAGATCATCAATTCGTCATTTCCTTGGGTAAGCCGCAGCGATGAGTTCATCGCACACCGCCTTGTATGAGAAGTACTGTAAGAGCTCCCAGAAGCTGTCAGCGATCTTGGGAAGAAACTAAGGACTAGCCCTGCAAGCAATGGGGAAACTAGCAAAGACCCGGGAAGGCCAAAAGAAAAGCATTGAAAAGCAAAGAAGGACTCATATAGTGCATCCACTAGCCTTTTTCAATAAACCACCATCAAACCCATCAACTTATCAACCTACTTTGTTATTTTTCAAAACGTATTGACAAGACAGCTGTCCACTGCAGAGGGTGTTAGTGTGTGCAGGTCCTATTTTGTGTCATGCCCAAATGCCCGGAAAGTGCAGACTTACTCTGAAAGGTAAAGACTCTCCTTGTTTCGAGTTGCATTTCAGGAGGCTGTTTAGAAAGAGGTTACTTACAACGTGCCCATCAACTACTTGTTGTTTTTGCCAGAGTGCAGACTGGCCGCTGGCAACATGACTTGAGATGGCAGTCTTGCAAGATAGGCGCAATACGAGCTTGCGCAGCGTTTGCAGACATGTTTTGAGGGTCTTCCTGTGCTTACAACTCCTGTGTCATGTCTTGCTGCACTCTTCCGGCTTTAGGATTCTCTTTCCCACCTCAGTGAGAAAATGACATCCCAAGCCATCAGTCATCAGTCCACCGCGCATCGGTTGAAAGCCAAGAGGCGCAGTACCTAGTATTAAGCACCTTTGAGTGCGTGGCTTGTAGTTGTGGAGAGCCAAGAGACACTGCGCACGTTTGGAAGCCCGTATTGAAGCACGTAACAACTTTTTCCCGAATGCGTAGCGAAGGGTTCCCGTTTATAGTTGGGGGTCTGGGGGTTGGAGCTGTGTTCGCGTGGCTTGCGTCGTGTCGTCGTCTCTCGTCGTCGTCGCGTCTCAAATTTGCTGCCATTGGGGGAAGCTTTTGCAAGTGACTTTTCATGGATGTGTCACGTGTCAGTTTGCGCCGCTATTCCATTGTGATTTGCATGACACCGACATGTCGCGCAAGAAACGTGATGCATTTCGCTGCACAGGCGCAGCGTTTTGTGAGATCCGCAGATTGCTGCGCAGTTCCATTGGGATTAGCGTTTGGAGAGTCGTGTTTTTGGGGTGTTGGATGTGGCCGTGCCACTGGGATTTGCGTTTCAGGGTGTGGCATCGAAGCTCGGTTTTCGTGACAAGTCTCAGCTGAAATGGCGACTTTGGTGGATGGGAGTGTGCTCTGAACGGGTCGAAATCATTCCAAACGTGTGGTGTGGTGCAAATTTTGTTGAAGCTCACATGCGATGATATTGTCACTTTTCGTGGCAGGCGCAGGACTTCGTGCGGGTTTTGAGGCGTGGAAGTGCGATTCTCGTGGCAGGCGCAGGGAATCGTGAGGTTGCGAGGTGTGAGGGAGGTGACATTTCGTGGCAGGCGCAGTACTTTGTGCGCGTTAGACGTGTGGATGGGGAAAGATTCGTGGCAGGCGCAGGGAATCGTGAGGTTGTGAGTTGTGGTAGAGGTGAATGTCGCTGTCACATTGGGATTGGCGTGTGAGCGGATGTTGTTTGGAGGGGCTGGAATCGCGAAATTGCTTGGCAGGGCTGCGTGATGTGTGTGCTCCGATGGGTGTTTCCGCGTGACTTTTGGAGGAAGTCTCGTACGAAACGCTCGTTTTGCAGACTTTGACGTGTGAGTTTTTGAGGAAGTCTCGTACGAAACGCTCGTTTTGGAGACTTGACGCGCAACCCTCTGCGGAGATCGTGCGTGTCGAGTGTGCGAAATGCAGGCCAGAGTGCGATTTGACCCATGCGCGCGCAACCCTCTGCGGAGATCGTGCGTGTCGAGTGCGCGAAATGCAGGCGAGAGTGCGATTTGCCCCATGCGCACGCAACCCTCTGCGAAGATCGTGCGTGTCGAGTGCGCGAAATGCAGGCGAGAGTGCGATTTGTCCGGTGCCCGCGCAACCCTCTGCGGAGATCGTGCGTGTGGAGCGCGCGAAATGCAGGCGAGCACTGGCGACTTTGTAGTACAACCTTGAGTACGCGGAGCAATCTGTGGAGCTGGAAGCTGAGAACTGGCGACCTTGTAGTACAACTAGTACGCGGAGGAATCTGTGGAGCTGGAAGCTGAGAACTGGCGACTTCGTAGTACAACTTTAGTACGCGGAGTATCTGGGGAGCTGGAAGAGAGTCCCACAAGAGTGTCTCCCAACAGTGTCCCGCTAGAGTCTAGAGTGTCTCACAAGAGTGTCCTACAAGAGTGTCCTACAGGAGTATCCCACAAGAGTGTCCTACAAGAGTGTCCCACAAGAGTGTCAAACAAGAGTGTCCCACAAGAGTGTCCCACCTGTGTGTCTCACAAGAGTGTCCCACAAGAGTGTCCTACAAGAGTGTCCCACAAGAGTGTCCTACAAGAGGGTCCCA